TCTGTGCATTTAAGGAGATGTTGTCTTCAAAGGATATCTGTCTATTTTAGAAAATCTTCACAGGATTTTTGCTGCTTTAAAAATGCATCAGATCTTTGCTGCTGCTCAACACGATATTTACATTTAGACCCCAAAAAACGCAAACAGGTGCATCAAAAGGAAGAAACGCAGGACCATAATTCCTTATCTGAAAAGCTGAAGGTCAGATGTGCTTTAAAATTCAGGTTTTATGATTCTAGAAAGGGAGTGCAAGCATTTAACAGTTATCACGTAGCACTCAGAAGTCAAATTTAGTAATAGTACTGCAGCAAAACATATGAATACTCAAACTGAGGTAAATATGTACTCTACAATCACACATGGATTTAGCTTATGTTTTACCAACAACAGAGTATACCAAAGGCCTACAAAAAATGTTTTCAAAGTTTTTTGCATTTGAAATTTTTTCATAAAGAATTATAGACATTTAAAAGTGGCTCAGATGCTACAGAAAATATCAGCCCATGAATAAACAAATATATACAAAACTAAACAATCATGGTACCAACACTTGCCTAACAAATTAACAAATATGTTTTTCAGAAAAAAAACACAGTATGAAATGTGAGTCTGTCAGACTACTGCAGTAAGAACATAAACTGAGCCAACCTCCACACCAACAGTGGAATCATCGAAGGCCTCGATGTGAATGTCCTGAACTCCAAGTTGCTTTTTCAGGACCTCACTTCCAATACTTAATTTAGACAAAGCCTTATGCACACAGGTATGCACTGAAACAGCCATCCGAAAAACTCATTTAAAAATAATTACTAACAATTGGAACCTCCTAAAAAGGTGCAAATGTGGTAAAATACAGTGATCCTATATAATGGAATATTATGCAGCCATTTTTTGTGTGTATGAGGGAATTAAGGAAACTTCACACATAAGGTTAGCAGGACAAGACGCAATAAGATTGTCCTGCATTATGATTCTGTCCCAGTGAAAGGTGCACGTCAAAAGACCAGAACATTAGGTTAACAACAGCAAGTCATCAGAGTAATGGGCCCAAAGATGATTCTCTCTCCCTTTTGTCATAAACTTTAAATCCTTGGAGGAAGGAGAAATTCCAAAAATTCCTAGACCACCACATTTCAGCTGAGGAGGAACAAATGAGAAAAGGAGGCTGGACAGCAGCAAGCTCAGGAACCTGAGGTATCATGAGGTATCATGCTGGGCTTTTAGAAAATGAAAATGAACCTATCTTTGCAAAGCCACCACCTCTAGAAATTGAGGGGAGGGGCTGGGGATTTAGCTCAGCGGCACAGCGCCTGCCTGGCAAGCGCAAGGTCGTGAGTTCAATTCCCGGTACCGAAAGAGAAAAAGAAAAAAAAACCTCCATGGAAATTGGAGGGAAATAACTTAAAGAATATGCAACCTATATATTTTATTTTTTAACTAATTTACTTTTTGTTATTTGTTGAATAGTTTAAGTGACATTATGATATAAATCAAGCCTAAGGGACACTTTGAGATAGAAATACAGTCAAGAAAAAATATCTGCATACAGAATATACAGCGATCACAGCTCGTTGGGTCCTCACTGGCAGCCAGGAAGATAGAGAAGGACAGAAGTCAGCAGGATGCCATGTCAAGGTAGGGAAATGGAGGCAGGGTCTCCTCTGGCTTTTGACTGCAAGTCTAGGGCTCTGATTAAAGCACAGTGCTCTTTCCACTGTATCATGTCACCCCGCCACTTCTGAGTCTCTACAAGTACCTCAGAATAAACGAAATTTTCTTATGAGAAAAAATGATTTAGTAATAATAAGGATGGGGTTCAGTATTGAACAACCCTAAATCAGTGTCAAACACAGCTTCCACAGCTGGGCGACTTTTTTCAATTTAACTTCTCAGAGACTTAACTTCCTTCATCTGTAAACACAGGAACGAAACTGTACAGCTTACAGGGTCCCTAGGCCAGTGGCTACCGCACAATAAATAATAGTAAAAAGTGAATTTCTTCTTACAAAAAGAATAAAGTTTCTACAAACTATTAACTGCAAATTCAAAGTTTAGCCCTTGTAAGCCAGACCAGATTCATTATTCTACTGGCTTTCAGCAGCCCACCAAACCTTTATCAATAACTGAATACATGCTTTAAAATATTACGACTCACTTAAAATAAGGGCTTTAACTAACAACAACTCCAATCATTCTGTCAATTTTAAATCATTTACTTATGTTGTCTCAATATGTAATTAGACTTCTACATCACAGCCAAACAACTCTTTCAAAAGTAATGATGAAATTTTTCTTTCTATCACCTGGAACCGAGGTCATACTTATTGAAATCCAGCCCCTTCAAACTCCCAAATAATTTTCTGGATTCATTTCTTCGGGGGAGGGGCAGGGAGGAGTTACACAAAGGAGAGAAATGGATGGGAACTTTTCAAATATTTCATTTCTTCTTTAACTTAAATTTGAACATGGAACCCCAAACTCCAACGACTGCTTTTTCAAACAGTCCATCCCCTGACTATGGATTATGTGGATATACACCTGGGCAGCTACCTGTCAAAAGGAGAATGCAGAATTTAATAAAACTTATCTTTAGGATCTAAATGAGGAGTCAGGAGGCTGGATGGAAGCCCACAGAACCCAAGGATTATATACTCCTCATCTCATCAGCACTTGGACCATTTCCACCCCTTCTTTACTCAAGGGCCGTGCTCATTGTCTGTTAGAAAAACAGTAAGCCTAAAGGGTCACTAACCAGAGAACTTAACATAGACAAGTCAAGATGTGGAAAATCGTCCCTTGCAGTACTCGTGGTACACTGTTCTCAATGCTGCTGCCGTGAAACAAGTCTGAGACCCTTCCACTAGGAAGGAAGGAAGGAAGGAAGGAAGGAAGGAAGGAAGGAAGGAAGGAAGGAAGGGACCCTGCCACTACCCATTGTACAGCTGTATGTCCTTCTTTACAACTTTTAACTAACCACATACTTCTAATTTAATGATATCTTAAACTATCTTAGATTCTCAGCCACATTGCCAAGGTTAATTTACGTTCAGTTTCTTCTGGGCATCAGTAGGGCTCAGCGGAAAAAGAATGAACTTTAGAATCAAGCAGGATGGGTTATCCCTGATAAACATATAAAGATACACACATACCTCTCCTAATGGTTCTGCTTACTGATACAATACTTATATGGTGGTGGGCCTCAGCTGCCCCGCTGAAAATGAATACTTCATAGGGTTACAAGGGTAAAGTTTTAAAAAATATATAAAGTGCCTAATCCAAAGTCCAGTGGGTAGCAGGCTCTCAATATCACTTCCCATCTTTCTTCCTACTTTTCATCTCTGATTCCAAGATCAGACATTGACTGTTAAGATACACTGACAAGTTTTACTTTGTGTCCTTCTTTTGTAGATGCTTCATTCCTCTTAAGCATTAACTTTTATCAAAAAGGTTATCGTGCAATTACGTAAGAGGTCTCTTCAATCACAGTGCATCCTCAGGCCTAAATGTTGCTCGGAGATCCAGGGAAATACAAACCCAGGCCAGGGATGGATTCTCCTGCTGATGGCCGATTACATGCATTGTGGGCTGAATTTTTAAAAATTTTACTCCACAGTTAAACTCTTTTTTCTCAATTCTGGAGCAACTGATTCTAACCTTGTGAGCACAGTCTACAATCTCACGTCCAATTTCAACCTATTTGACCCTAATTATGTACCTATACACCCCAATATTTAAACAGGGGATGAAAATCAAAACCTCTCCTTCAATAAAATATGTCCATTGTTGCCACTTCCCCGGGACGGATGGCTGAAGGAAATATGGGTCTGCTAATAAAGGCTCAGGAGACATTTATCCAGTCTGCTCCCTTCCTAACCCATTCTGGTTCCTATAAAAAAGCAAGGGCCACATTTGATAAGCCAGTTTAAAAGCTGTAAGTGACTGGAATGTTCTCAGGAGGGAAGAGCAGAATATGTATTCTACGGAGGAGATAATCGTTGTTGGGAGCTTTCCAGCGGCTTATTATTTGGACCTGAGAAGGAGCCACCCCTGAAGGCAAGCTTGGAAAGGCTTGCTGACGTAAAACTCCAGGCTGTGGAAACCCCAAATGGCCAAGAAGGTTTAAGTTTATTTTTTAAAAAACTATTGCTACGAGATGGTAATTAGGAGGAGGAACGACAGTAAGGAATCCCTGGTGTCTGTAGTGATAAACACCAGAGTGTGAGGCAGGAGTTCGGTAAAAGCTACACCTGCTCTTGAGAGATTTCAGTTAAAAACTCCGACTCAAAGTTCATCGTTGGGTACAAGACTTTAGCATCTCTGCTAGTGGCTTCCCGTCCTGACCACAGATTTCTTCTGTGCTGACAGGATCTGACACAAGAGAAGAAAAATCAAATGTAAGTTTATGAGTGCCTGCCTTTTCTCCAAGCTTAATGTATCCAGCATACAAGGGATGGGAAGAAATCTGAAATCCCTGACCTGTTGCAAGAATCCATCAACCAATAAAATAAATGAAAACTTGGAAAGATAATGGAACTCTTCAAGCTTTTAAGACTTTAAAAAAACAAACAAACAAACAAACGAGAGGGGCGATGGGGTGGGGAGGAACGCGGGGACAGCACCCAGGCCCGTGTCACGATCTTCCGCGCTCTGGGTCTTTGAGGACCAGGGCGACAGGAAAAGATTCCCTGGGGTTCGGAAGAGCCTGGCTCTGGAGCAGTCACACCCGGGGAAGGCGACACCAAGCAGGGCTCCTACTCTCCGAAAGGCTCCGAGTTGGGGGGACACAGGTCCTCAGCAGAGGCCCGGGGAAGGGAAGGCGGGAAGGGAGGGACGACAGCCGCTACCACGCGCCGCGCCCCGCCCGACCGCCCTGGATAGCCTGATGTTCGGCGCCCGGGTCCCGCAGCTGCACCGGGACTCAGACAGCTCGGGGCGCAGTGGGGACCCCGCGCTGCCCGCCTTCCCCGCGCCTGGGATCCCGCTGAAAACCGGGCACTCACCCGAGGCCGCCAGCGGGGAACTCACGACGCCTCCCACGAAGACCGCACCGGCGAGGACAGCAGAACCCCGGATCCCTCGCGGAGCCATCGCCCAGTCCCTTCGCCCAGCTTCCTGCGAGCAGCGTCCCCCGTTCCGGCCGGCGGCAGAGCTCCGCAGCCGGCGGGCTGGCGGGCGGATCTAGCGGCTGAGTTGCGCTGGACCCCCGCGCCGCCCCAAGCCCGCCCCGCCGTGGCCCCACCCCTTCCCCCGCCCACCAGGGCTCGGCACCGCCCCTTCCCACCGCCCGGAGGGACCCCTTGCAAGGCCCCGCCCACTTCAGCCCGGCCCCACCTCTCCCTGTCTTTCCCTCTTCATCTCCAAACACAGAAGCCTCTAGGATTAAGCGACCGCCCCGCCCCTCATGCCCCGCCCGATCTCTTCTCGCCCTGCTCTCATCTCCGCCTACAAGGCACCTCTCCCACAAGGCCCCGCCCACCTGGCCGGGCTCCGCCTCTCCTTGTGTCCCTGCTTCCGCTCCAAACCCAGCAGCTGCGCGGGCTACGGGACGGCCCCGCCCTTTTCCCCGCCCACCACAGCCGGGCCCCGCCTCTTGCCTCGCCCGCTTCCTTTCCAAACCCCGCCTGACCCTCAGCTGCCGGCCTAAGCGGGAGCCGCGGGCGGTGGCGGATGTGCTGCGGCTCGTCTTCGTGGGTTCTGGGACTGGGCAGCGTGGGAAGAGAAAGAGGGTTTTTGTTTTTTTAATCGTGTGCTGCATCTTGCAAATTCTCCCTCAAAGTAGCCCTTCAAAGTCTCCAGTCGCTTATTATCTCCTTACAGCCTTACAGTAGCTCTGTGAGGTATTATCTCCATTCCACAGCCCAGGAAGTAAACCCACGTTGTCTGGACCACCGTGATCTTTGTAATTAGCTCGCTGTCATTGCACTCGCTCATTGCTGTGTCCTCAGCGCCTGGGTCAGGGAGAGCACACCCGAAGAGATCAAAAGTCTTTTTCTGAAGTGGAAGCACGCAAGCATTGATTGGATTGGGAGTCTCTCTCAGTGATTCCCTGTTCACTGGCCCTTAGAGACTCCGCAAACAGGGCCATCCTACCTGCGCTTGAGAACCGTGGGCCTCCCCTGAGTAAAAGCTTAATGTGGGCCAGCAAGAAGGGTCTGGATGGAGACTGGCGGGTTTTCACAATGGGCGTCTTCCTGGGACTGGCTGATAGCCTTTAATTATTCATCCCTTTACTAGACCCTCCCTGCAGTCTGTTAAACTGTCACAAACATTTGCACTGATGTGAGCCTTACCAGTGACAGAAGGTCGGGACACTACAGGAGGCTGAGGGTGGAGGAGGGAACCCTTGCCCTTTGAAGCTAAGAGCAGTCCTGCCCCTCCTGTGCCCAGTTGGTGGCACATCCTGTAGTCCGGCAGGCTTCTCAGGCAGCCCTTCCCACTGTCCTATCAACCTAAAAACTGACTGTGAATGCAAAAAAAAGAGGTCCTTGTGGGTTCCTACCTAAAAAGGAGAGAAAATCCCAGGCCTAGAAATTAAACTATAAATTATTAATTGTAAATAAAACCAGCTACATAATTTGCAGTGCCCAGTGAAAAATGAAGAAGCAGGAATTTTCATTTAAACATCATTCACCATTTCAGCAGCAGAGCATTAAACAAATTCGGAAGCCCTTTGAACATGCAAAACTCCTAAACATGGTCACACTGCCAGTAAAGGTAGTCCTGGCTTGGGAACTATAACAAAATGGTTGTGTGAGGTTGTCTGTTCAAAGTATGAAGTATCACTTGAAAATTGAATAATGTTTTACATAGTGATTGAACTTACTATTTAAAAAGAATAATTTTTAACAACATATTTGAGTTGGATGCTTGCTTACAGCCCTACAGGAATAAAAATGCAATCCAGTCATTTAAATTGCAAGAAAATGTTGTTAATCATCTCCTAAGTTCTTGCTTTTCCTGATGAGTGATCCTGACAGCTCATATTTAGGATGAGCCAGGCCTGGAGCCTGAAACTCTAGGTATTTCCCCTCCCAGACTCTCCTCCTTGATGTAGATATCCTACTTTTACATAAACCCATAGTCATGTATCTGAACAGCTTGCCTAAGAAAGTCGGGGAAGAAAGGAGAAAGGAAAGAAAGAATGAAAATCAAGTTTAATTTATTTTCCAGGTCCTTAACTCTACAAATTTGTTTATATGAAAAAACAATCCACAAATGCATATCTAAAAGCCTGCTACTTTATTTTAAAAGACTCCTATGTGGTAGGAGTTCCCTTCCATATTATGAAGGCAATATCATATTTCTGCTGATGAAATATAGCTGACATTGCACAACTAAGTGTTCTCATTTCTTAAGAAATAAGATTAAAAGTAGATATCATAACAGTAGCTCTTATTTATTCATCCCTTAGACTTAGACCAGTCCTATGGTATTTTTCCTGTGTTCTTTCACCAAATCTTCATAAAGATGTTATATTTGAGAAAGTATTGTTAATGATATTCACTTCAAAGCTAAGGAGACTCCGATTTGAGAGAGTATGGCATTTAGGTGAGTCACACAGCTGCTCGCTGGCATTGCCAGTATGCAAATCCAGAATTTGCTCTCTGTAGGCCTGAGCTTGCAACCTCCATGTGTACAGAGGTGAAATGCAGAAAACTAATCCATCAGCTCCTCTCTTCCAGTATGAAGTCTCCTTCCACCCAAGTACTACCCAGACCTTGTGCTTGGCTTCAGAGATCAAGTGCGTTCAAGGTGGTGTGGCTACAGATCAACATCTCTTTCTCTTATTCTGTGATCATACCCTAGCCCAGCCTTTTTGAACTCTGTTCTGACAATAACTTTCATGCTTTTCCTTCAAGGAGAATAACTTATTCAATTTAGGAATGCATTATAAATCAGACTGCCTGGGCTTAAACTCACAAACCTATACAATGTGCTGTCTTTTGTGGATTTTGTTGATTTGTTTTCCCCAGTTTGTCTGAAAATTCATCATTTCCCTTAGTAGAAATCTTTCCTGTTTTCCTCTGTATAACTAAGGTGGTAATTTTCAGCACCATCATTTAAGTGTATAAGACTCCTCTGGCTGGTATTTACTCCAATTAATGTTGAACTAACACAGAAGGCTGTTATTGAATTTCTTTTTCTGTGAATTAGATATTGTCATCTAGCCTTTTGAGAGGTTATACCTACGGGATATGCTTACAATTCTTTAAAAGGTATGTCTGCAAGGAATAAAATAGTGTTTTATAAAATCTAGGGCTACTTTGATCTGACAAGTACCTAGTGTGTTGCTAGTAGTAGACTGAAAGTAGCAGGTTAAAGAAAAAGATTACTGTAAGTTTAATAAAAGATGATAAATTTCTTATAGAAATTTTAAATGTACCTGGATGAAAGGAAACAGCTACATAGTGAAATAGAAATGATTAATTGCTGGGACTGGAGGTGTAGCTCAGTGGTAGAGCAATGCCTTGTGTTCAGTCCCCAGCACAGCAGAAGAGAGAGAGACAGGGACAGAGAGAGAGACAGAGAGAAAGTTAATGGTCCAGGGTCCAGGGGACAGAGCCCTGCTAATGACTTCCTCACTCTGTGACTCTCCAAGTTTCCCTTGGGTTCGTCTTCTTACTCATAAAATTCGGAGAAGGGGAGGTAAACAGAATAATTTCTAAAGGTTCCTATCCAGCCTTAAGATTCTATACTGTAATAAATAACCAAATAAGATGGTCCAAAAGTCAGGCATTCTCAACACAGTGGACCTTCTTGGTTAAGTAACTCTGTTGTGGAGGGATGTTGTGTGCACTGCAGGATACTGAGTTGCATCCTTGGCCTTTATCAACTAAATGCCAGTCACACCCTGTTCCATTTGGGACAACCAAAAATGTCTCCTGATAGTATCAAGTGTCCCAGGTGACAGATGCAAAATCACTGCAGTGTGAGAACCACTGCGCTAAGGAGTTCCAAGAAGGACTGTAACAGGAAGCTCTGACAAAAGCTTCACAGAGCAGGTATAACTTGAACTTGAGGCTCAAAGGAAGTACAGAACTGAGACTGGTAGAGAGACGAGGGAAGTATAAGAGCAACATATGTGAAAGAGTTAGCAGGATGAATGGAGCACAGTCATTCATGTGTAAGAGGGAGAGACCAGGGCGGCAGTAACTGTGGGTACTAGCTGATATAGTTATAATAGTTGATAAAAGGACAATGGGGAGTTTCAAATGCACAGACAATTGTCATACATTATAATAAATAGCTATCATCAAAATAGGTTGGGGGAAAACTACTCCCATTGTTCAGATATTTTGCATTCTAAATCAGGAAGCCTCAGATAAGAAATCCTAATTTTGCCAAATTGTTCCGTATAAGGCGGAGGAATATGATCCTCAGTAATGGTGTCCTTCAGCTCTATCCACTTCCCTGGATCACCACACTGAGTTGTTTCACAGGTACACAGTCACCTCACAAGTAAGCGACTCAGGTTATTTGTCGCCGGAGCTTCAAAGGGTGGACATAGCATTGCTATTGCTCTCAGTAAAGACCAAGAAAGAATTACAATAAGGAGTCCCGTGGCTTAGGACCATTATAATCCACAAATGCATCTATCAGTGGATAAATTCTGCAAGGTGTCTGTTTCAGAAAGCCTCCTTTGGGTTGCAGTCAACATAAACATAAACACTAGTTCAATGAATAGTAAATGTGTTATAGTATTATGTAAAGGTACAGCATTCACAGATATGAAAAGCCGAGGCCTCCACAGCTGCTTCCTGCCCACTCCCCACTAGGCATGGCCTCCATAGATTGGCTAAGGACTGGTTTCCTTTGATTTAGGAGAACGTGAGGCTGGCCAGCCAGGAACTCTACGTATGATGGCTCTTCACTCTAGAGAGAGACATTGGACATGATCCTCCCATCAACTGATAAATTCTGTATGAAGGAGTATTACAGAAGTCAACAGAATGAAGAGTTTTCCGAAGAAAGAGATGATTGTCAGTGTCAGGTACATAGTAAAATAAGGACTGAAAAGTTATCTAGCAAGTCAGAGAATAGGGAGATTTGCAGAACATTATTAAAGGGTATTAGTGGTGGAGGCCAAAGGGTGGTGGATGAGGAAGGGAAAATTGTAGTAGAGTTCTTTTTCTAGAGGTGTGGCTGAGGGAAAAGAAATGGAGAACTCGAGGGGCCCCTGGGCTCAAGAAAATGTTTTTATGCAATCAGATTTTATGG